ATCAAAACACTTTGTGTTTTTATGGTAGATTTCCCATGGAATTACCCAGTAATAGAACCAAATATACCTGATGAATATATAAATCAGATGCTCTTCAAAATACATCGTATGATTGTTTGGTTTCTTCTCATATAAAAAAACACATCTACATATCATTTTCCGTGCAAAATACAAATCATACAATGGCTGAAAAGAATTCTATCAACTGAGTCTTCGACGATATTTGGCAAAGTTTCATTAAAACAGAATTAGACATTATCATATGTCACTGTCATTCTTAGAAATAAGCACTTGCAACAATAAGTCTAATTACTCTAGATTTGAACGAGTTCATTTGTTTACTGAAAAATTTCACTATATACTTAATTAATTCCAACCAAAACAAGACAGAATAAAACATGAAAAACATAAAATATAAAACAATGATCACTAGTAATTATTAGTTTTAAAAAATAGTTCGAAAGTAAATTTAGCCTGTATTGTATTTGTTAAACATAGGCATTTCTTGAAAAATTTCCTATAATCATGAACACATTGTATGGTGGACACCTATCTTCAGCTTGCAATTTTTCGTTTGAAGCACCAGAGTATATCACCTCACCAGAATTTATATTATCCCAATAGTCATAAATTTTATTTTGAATATCTGCATTGTTTCCAGATCCCCACCAATTATCAGGTGCTTCAATATTATATGGACAAACATTTCGAATATTGAATACGCTATTGGAAATAAAACTGGAACTCACAATTGAACTCTTTTGATTACAATTGGATGACAACTCTACACCAACTGCAAAAGATCTAATTGATGATAAAGCAATATTAGTACTACTAGCTTGAATTCCGATTGTATTCTCTTGTGCAATAGATGATGAGCGTTTGACAGAACTGCATAGAATAGTTGAATAATTACCTAATACCAATGGTGGTGCTTTGAGTTCAATAGTCGAATAAGCAATGAATACATTAGGTATAGGTAAATTCATGATTCCATTTCTAAAGATGACATTTCTTATCTTCACTCCTTTACTGTAGTATTGATTCGGCTTTATATATGTGATATTGACATCGTTAAATATCGAATCTTGAAATGTAGCTGATGATCCATATCCGAAAAGTTTTATAGAACCATTATTAAATATGGAGTTGTTCACAACTATAGTACTATAATAATTGAGAAGAGAGCCGTAGTAGTAGTAGTTGCCGTAATAATAGTACTGGTAGTAATAATAATAGTTCTCTGATCCTCCGATATCAATCGACACATTGCTAATTGTTGAGTCTTGAATAATGAAACTATTCAAGTTCCTCCAATGATAATAATAATAATAATAATAATAAGGATCACTGAAAGACATCATGAATAAGGAATCACGAATTACACTTCGAAAAACTCTAATATGGATACTAGGTAATTGCCACCAATTTGGATATTCTTCTACTGCGTTTTCAATTATCGAATCATTAAATTGAAGCAAAGCTGGTGCACTTGGATAATTCTGATCATTGTAATCAGCTTTAATTGTCACATTTTTCAATTTAGAATTAACAAACTGAATGCCATCTACAGCTGCTGCTGGTCGAATAGTTGTATTGAAAAGTTTGCTATTAACTATAAGAATTGATTCACTGAAAGTATTGCCAGTTGATACCAACGAATTTTTAATTTCTGATGAGATCAACTGGAGTGAAGAAGCAGGTGAAGAACGACCCAAAGGAAAGTAGCAATTAAATGGATAATTACCTAGAGATAGACAACAAAAGAATAACATTCATGCTCGAACGATCAAAGTCAAAAAAAACAAAGAAATATTAGTCATATTTATATGCTAATATCGTTCGTATGTTCTGAAAATAAAACTTTCTCAGAACTAGTCTATTATATTTCAATTTAACAGCTTTCAGCGAAATTCAGTTATTCGTAAAGCTACGATCTTTTCTTGATTTCTTAAGTGGTAATGTACAACAACATTTGTTTTAATCTAATTAGTTCTGACTCATAAGACCTTAGCTATTTATAGTGATACAACGAAATAGAATCTTGTTCATCATATACATTGAATATTCTTAATATAAGAAGGTAATTTATGTTGCCTGCTATACAAACTCAAACTGAGACGATGAGAAGCTTCAAAGAAAAGTTTCATTGGATATCTCTTGTTCAGCAAGAAAGACTTTGAATCGATATCTAATTTTGAAAGAGCCTCAAGTCTTAAAATAAATTTTCTGTATAGGATTCTGATCAGCATGAAAATCTATTTAAGAAAATTCTAAGCTGTTACAAAAATATAGTTAAATATGATATATATATATCAATCATCTTCCGTTTGTTTTAACACTAGTCAGTTTTGTTTTAAACAAAAAGAATCATTCGAATATTCAAAATATTTATGAATTTCGGAGAAAAAAAAATGCTTAATTTAGAGAACTTATAAATAAAATCTATCGAACGAAAAAGTTCATATTAGATAAAAATCGATTCGTAACTTAACGCTTCATAAATCACTTACAATAATAAGAAAAAAAAAGGATTAAAACCTGCATTTTTCATATAAAAATTAATATCGATAAAACGTATACAAATGACGTTACTCTCCTTAGCTTGTCATTAACTTAAAGTCATTTATGTATATATATAATTTTTTGCGAATATAACTGTACTAGCTGAAGACAAACTAATATGTCGATTTAGATCGGTTTGATTAAACAATGAATCTATATTGTTAACCACTAGAAACAAGTATAGAAGAAAGAAAACATGATAACTCCTTCACCACACATAGATCATTTACTGTATGTTTAACAAGTTATCCAATTAAAAAAAAAACTTTTATTCAAAAACTGAAATAAACTCAATAGATTGCTGTCATTCAGAAACTATTGTAGAAAAAGGTGAAAAATAGTCCGATGAATGATTTATAACAGTGCGAAGGTAATAATGATGACGATAAAAATTCTTGAGATAACTACAGGCCTTCTAGACTACAGGTGATTTTTTTTGATAAGAAAAAATTTCTCTAAGATATATTTAACTCAATATAGATTTTGGCGATGATTTCTAATATTGCATTTATTTTGTTTTGCATCTGTATCATATTAAACGAAAACTGCTATAAATTATTTTTTTTCTTTCTTGAAAACTCACTATCCAGAAGAGAAATATAAACACCATTTCACCTCTAGAATAAATTTTTTCTTTCAACATTTTGTGGATCTTACATATGTTTTCGAAAGAAAATAGTGACTGTAAGTTTTAGATTGAAGTTTTCTGGGTTCCCCCTCCATTACTCACACTCTCCACCATTGTTAGATCTAAACAGTCGGCATTATATAATGGATATTTTTAACAACATTATTTGTCATTCAATTCAATGCTTGTTAATGATAAAAATATTAAATTAAGAAAAGAAAAAGAATTATGAAAATGAAAAAGAACGAGTAAATAGTAACAATAGAAACGAAAAATAGAGAGTCCCTGATTAAAAAGCAAGCAAAATTTCTGTTCGAAATATAGAAATAAAAAAGACAGTGTTTGCTGACAATCGATCATCGTGGGGAGGAGGAAAACCATCGCCTTTTAAACATATTTCACTATGAATTTTGTATCTGTTTTATAGACAATCAAAAATTAAATAATATTCAGCTCAGATTGATTTTACTTCAGAAAGTGGCATAAGATATACTAGCGAAAATTGACACTTGTTAATTCATGAATTATTACTGATTCGATTCATGTTCAATTATATAAAACTAGTAATTAGATGACATTCAAGATTTGAAACAAACTGTTTTATTCAACTTTTCATACTTTATCTATTGGTATATTCTATAAAGAAATTCTCTAAGTTGTTAAAGTAATTATAACCGTAGAGAAAATTTATCAGTAATTTTTTGATAGTAGGGTAGATAGTGTTGAAAAGTTGATGTAGATTAACTTTACAATAGAACATTCATATGGACTAAAAGTTTGGTTTTAGTAGTTTTAGATGATGGTCTTTCGAATACACACAAAAGATTAAAAATTTTAAATTTTGACTAGTGCTTCGTATACTTAGATGGTTTTTTGTTCTTTTATATATGCTCTCTTAGTATTATCAATAAAACACAATTGAAGCACAGATAGAATGAAATGCATGATCAAATATTTTAGCAGTATTTAAATAGATTAAGACTCAAGAAATTATTCCGAATTAAACAAAAAAAAAGTGCTTAAAAAAACATGAACTATTAAATTGAGCTCGGATGTTTCGTCAACTAATATCGTTTCAGTAAATATGAATTACCGAATGCTTATACTTTTGAAGGACAATTTTAAAAAATACACAAACTAAACAACTTACCATTTGATTCAATAGATGTATTTTCAAGAAACATTGTATTGTGAACAACTAAAACACCCGTATTTTGAGATAATCCAGCAATTATGGTCGTAATTTGTAATCCTTTTTGAGGTCCAGTGAAAATGGCATTAGTGATGAAACTTTCTGATAAATTAGTTGATTGCAGTGTTATCATCCATTTAGTATTTGTTTCTGTACCATTATAAAATAACACAGGATTTGAGGCAGTTCCTCGTACTTGCAAGATTCCTTTGACAAGTATTTCAAAGTCACCTTTATCAAAAACAATTTGTACGCCTGCCTGAATGATCAATGTAACATTTCTTGGCACATGAACATTATCAGTGAGATAGTAAGGATTAGCACTACCAGAGCTGCTCCATATTGTATTCTTCCGAAGTACACCACCAACATTGGTCAATGCTTGATTTCTACTAAATGTAGAAGCGAATAATATGATAATAAGTGAAAACATGTTGATGATGAATTGATAATATGTCAAAACTCACCATTTACTCTGACTTTTTATAGTATATTCCTTTCTGTTGTGGTTCAGTAATTACCAGACAAATGTTATTTATGATGAAAGACAACTCCAAAGTTCACCTAAAAGGTATAATTGAAAAATATTTACCATTATATGATTGTTATTCGTGCATGATTGTTTTTGCCCTTTGTATTTGCACTATGACCCGAAGTAACAAAAAAACATTGTCTAGAGTACTCAGTTAATTATGTACTTAGTTGTTTGTCTGGAAAATGATCAAATAGTATTGATCGATTGATGAATTGTTCATAAAATAACTCACTACTATAAAATACATTCAAAAAAAACTACAATTTTATCTATACATTTTTCTTCTTTGTGTAAAACTAAAATTCACGACAGAGTTTTGAAAGGTGAAATCAACCATTTACACTATATAGAGACTATTCTCAATATGTTTCTTGTTCTAGAATTTTTATTGATGATATATGAATAATGACAACAATTGATAACTATGTTATCGATACTGTTTTTTTTTGTATAAATCAAGACTTCTGGTGCCCTTTGGACAGTGTTATTTATTTGTTTTTTTCGTTTTTTTTTGACATTAATGAATTATGATTTCTCTCCTCGACATTTATCATACTTGGCAAAAAGAAATGTCATGCACATTTTTGATTGCATGAGACGAAACAATACCGTCTATAAAAACAAGCGAAAAGTACTTATATTTGTTATTCAATACATCAGAGAGAAAATGAATCAGTTAACAATCATGCTTTTATGTGTGTTGGTACTTTTGTTCGTCGACAGATCTTCATCTCAACAGTCATGCGAAGCTCCTTCATATTGTACACGTTCTTGTCCATTTGGATTTGTAGTTGATTCAAATGGTTGTCCTACATGTACTTGCAGACAAAATCCATGTTCAAATGGACAACTTCCACAGCTAGGTTTCACTTGCCAACAAGGAACAGTTCAACCTTCCTGTCCGCCGCAACACGATTGTCGCACTGCGCCGGGAGAATCCTCTGGTTTATGTTGTCCTACAAAGTAATGCATCAAATGAAAACAACTGAGATTTTTTTTCAACTGCAAGAAACTCAAATTAGGAAAAAAAACTATTGTCCTTGAACCTGCTGACATTCTCAAATATATAACATTAACTGAAATTGTTAGTTCATTAACTATAGATAGGACATTTCTAATTTTAATGCCTATTAACATTAGTTTTTTAGAAAAAATAAATAAATTGTATTTTTATCTTTTGTTTGAAATAAATGTTATGACAATTAAAAGTTAGATATCATCGAAGAATAAGAGTCAATAGAGAGTGTGGATGTACGTGTGGTTATTCTCGAATGTACATTTATACATGGACACACTCCACACTCAAAAACTAATGCAGCTAACACAGACATAGAATATATCATGATTTTAGTATCTATGATTGTTCATGACTAAGTTTCAATTACGGTCATGACTTTTAAAAAAAATATTGGCCAGAAAGACAGCCGTGATCATGATAACTATGAGTCATGGTGGTCACGCCGGATACTAATATCAACAAGAAAACTGACTGTTGAAGCAAAACGTATACCACTGCTACCTCATGAATATATTAGCTACTTTCCATAATAGAATAACAAAAAGTCAACCGTAACTTATATGCACAAAAGAAAGCAGACTAATTGTGCAAACTGGATGTTAGCAAAATGTTTTCAAGATTTTCATGTATTACCTCAGTGGAACATTGTGTACATATCATTTTCATGCGTACATATCACAGAATCTTCCTGATTTGAATTTTTTAGGATATAGTTTATAGAATGAACTGACTAAAACTATGAATTCGAACACGTAACAACAAAAGAAACATCGATAGATGAAATAAAATTTCCTGTAAGAAAAAAAAAAAAGTTGAAAAAGACAAGCATATACATTCTGTACTTAATATTATTACATAATTACATGTCATCCAAAAAAAAACAAAATTAGAGTAGATTATATTCGTTGAATCATGTATACTAATTACTTTTTGCAGAATTTCAAACATTATTTTTTTTGATTAAAAAAAAACAGGCACTTTAATAAAAACAAAAAATACAGAAGTTTTGAAAATACTAAAAGTGCAATTAATTATGGATCACTCGTTATATAAAATCATCGATCTCAATATGTATTCTATTCAATAACATTCATTCGATATATTCTACCAGTATTCTTATCTCGTATAGTCATACAATTGATTAAATTCTGATGACAATAACTATTATTTGTTATGTTGCAAATAGAATTATAATTAATAAACAAACACAAAATTTATATCAACATTGGCTCGAAAATTTGATGCATGAACATTCAATTTTACTGTTCCTTCTAGTTTTAGTTGAAAATTTTTCGATAATGTATTAATATCTTCTTTGTATACATTGTCTTTCTCTAAATTTTATTGAACCAATTATTGGTCTTTCATCCAATAAAGAAATTGCTTGTTGTTCTTGTTTTATATTGATTAATATCTTCAAGAATTTGAACAAATGTTGGTAAAGATACAAATAATTCTTCATGTTTCCATATGCATCATTTCACCCTACGAAATATATATGCAATTATATTAGCAAACAAAAAAAACACATTTTTATTTATATACATACATTATCAAGAATAATAATTTTAGTTGTGTCTTATAAAAATTCAATTTGATTAGTAACTAAAGTACGAATATTATCATGAACATGAGTTTTCATCAATCTGAAATAAATTCAGTCGTGTTTTTAGGATGCAAAAATATAAATAAGAAAGTTCTATTTACTTATCAAAGAGATATTTAGAAACTTTAACATCAACAGCAGAGGGTGTGGGTGTGGGTGGGTGTGTGTGGGTGTGGGTGTGGGTGTGGGTGGTGTGGATGTGGGTGGTCTGGGTGTGGGTGGGTGTGGGTACGGGTGGTGTGGGCGTAGCTGTCTTCTGTCCATCCAAACCCACACCTACACTCACACTCACCCACACCCACACCCACACCCACATCCACACCCACACCCACACCCGCACCCACACCCACACCCACCCACACCCACACCCACACCCACACCCACACCCACACCCACACCCCATACCCACACCCACCTCACACCCACACCCACACCCACACCCACCCACACCCACCCACCCACACCCACACCCACACCC